GGAGGATGAGGAGGTGGAGGCTGGAGGAGGAGGAGGAGGAGGAGGAGGAGGAGGTGGAGGGAGGAGGAGGAGGAGGGTTTCTTTGGTGTGGGGTCCTCGTTCGGAAGAGACAGCGCCCCGCGTTCTCCTCACGCCTCCTCCCTCCCGCCTCCTCCCTCCTCCCATCCCTGCCCCTGCCCTCCGCACGTCCACCTCGGCACGCCCCTCGCAGGCCTCGTGGCCCCATAGGGAGCTCCGCCGAAGACCCCGGCGGAGATATCCGCGAGGCGTGCCCCTTGGAGGAGGATCGGGGAGGATTTTTTGGGCAGAGCCTTCTCTCGGAGGGTCGAGGATCGAGGGTTCTTCGAACAGGAGATCGACTACATAATATATTCACCCCGATCGTTTTTTTTCTTCGAGTCTACGATCAGTACGCAGAATGATGGTAGAGCTACGGAGCATTCTACGTTTTGTTGCGTGCATTGGACGCGAAGATCAAGTTTGGGGTGCATCAATTCTGTAGTCGATCTCCTACTGTAAGTGTCGAGGATCGAGGATTCTGGACGCGTTTGGGGCTTCTTGGTCCCCCCCAGGGCGCCCTCGTGGCCCCAGCCGGATTCTCAGAAGCCATCGCGCCTTCCGACAAGGCCTTGTGAGCCTTCTCCGAAGCCGCAGGCGGCTACTCAGAAGGCTGAGATGGCTTCTGAGACGCCCCGCCTCCTTATGAGGAGGCCTGCCCCCTCTCGCTTCCCACCCGGGCTCGCCGCCGACATATAGAGAGCACGCGTGGGATCGACGGAGTCTCGCACTTCCGAAAGGGGCCTCGCTCCTCTCTCTCCCTCCTTCGGCCGCTCTCTTCCGACCCCCCTCCCCCCGCTCTTGCACGGGCGCAGCTGTCGGAAGTCCCAGAGCGTCGAAACTTTAATATAAAGGCACCAGCATGATTTCTCGGAGGTCTGCGCGGTCCTCCAAGAAGGAATGCTTGTGCTGCTTTGTGCTCCTCTAGAGCAGTGGCCACATCGGGTGACGTTCCCCTCCTTCGTCCCACCTTCCTTGCGGCATGCGCATTGCATGTGGTTGGGTCTTCGCCAGGATATCATCCTTGCACTTTTTCTCAACCATCCTGTAGTGTTGGGTCCTCGTCTTGAAGAGGCAGCGAGCGCCCCGCGTTTCATCATCATTATCATCATCATCATCAGCATCATCGACATCATCAGCATCATCATCATCATCATTGTCATCATCATCATCATCATCATCATCATCATCATCATCATCATCATCAAACAACAGCATCATCGTCATCATCAGCATCATCGTCTTCATCAGCATCAGCAGCATCATCATCATCATTCCCATCATCATCATCACCATCACCATCGTCATCATAATCACCGTCATCGTCATCATCACTCAGATCTTTCACCATCATCATCACCATCAACATCATCCTCATCACTATCATCGTCAACGTCACCATCATCATCATCACTAACACCATCACCGCGACCATCATCATCATCATCATCATCATCATCATCATCACCGTCACCATCACCATAACCACCAGGATAGTCGTCATCATCATCACCATCATCATCAGCATTATCATTATCATCGGGATCATCATCATCATCATCATCATCATCATCATCATCATCATCATCATCATCATCATCATCATCATCATCATCATCATCATCATCATCATCCGCATCATCATCATCATCATCATCATCATCATCATCAGCTTCATCATCATCATCATCACCATCACCACCACCATCAGCATCATCATCATCATCATCACCAGTATCATCATTATCATTATCAGCGTCATCATCATCATCATCATCATCATCATCATCATCATCATCATCATCATCATCACGATCACAATCACGATCATCATCACCACCATCATCGCCGTCATTATTGCAACCATCGCCAGCAGCTTCGGCACACCCCTCACGAGCATCGCGGCCCATAGGGAGCTCCACCGAAGGTCCCAGTGGCGCCGCCCGCATGTGTCTGACCCGCCCATTTCGGCACACCGCTCACGAGGATCGTGCCCCCCCCCTTGGGGAGCTCCACCGAATGTCCCAGGGGCGCCGCCCGCATGCGTCCAACCCGCGCATTTAGGCGCACCCCTCACGAGCATCGCAGCCCAAAAGGGAGCTCCACCGAAGGTCCCAGGGGCGCCACCAGCATGCATCCGGCCCACCCATTTCGGCACACCTCTCACGAGGATCGTGGCCCCTTAGGGGGCTCCCTCCGAAGGTCCCAGGGGCGCCGCCCGCATGCGTCCGACCACTTCATTCATTTCGGCACACCCCTCACGAGCATCGCGGCCCCATAGGGAGCTCCTCCGAAGGTCCCAATGGCGCCGCCCACATGTGTCTGACCCGCCCATTTCGGCACACCGCTCACGAGGATCCCCCCTTGGGGAGCTCCACCGAATGTCCCAGGGGCGCCGCCCGCATGCGTCCAACCCGCGCATTTAGGCGCACCCCTCACGAGCATCGCAGCCCAAAAGGGAGCTCCACCGAAGGTCCCAGGGGCGCCGCCAGCATGCATCCGGCCCACCCATTTCGGCACACCTCTCACGAGGATCGTGGCCCCAGGGGGAGCTCCACCGAAGGTCCCAGGGGCGCCGCCCGTATGCGCCTAACTTACCCATGTCGGCACACCCCTCACGAGGATCGTGGCCCAAGCAGTATTGATCCCCACCGAATGTCCCAGGGGCGCCGCCAGCATGCATCCGACCCACCCATGGCGGCACAACCCTCACGAGGATCGTGGCCACATGGGGAGCTCCACCGAAGGTCCCAGGGGCGCCGCCGGCATGCGTCCGACTCGCCCGTTTCGGCACTCCCCCCCCCAAGGATCGTGGCCCCACACCACAGGGAGCTCCACCGAATGTCCCAGGGGCGCCGCCCGCATGCTTCCGACCCATTCACGTCAGCACATCCCTCACGAGGATCGTGGCCCCCATAGGGATCTCCACGGGCCGTCACCACATGCGTCTTGCCCCACAGTCCGCATGCGGCACCCGCCCCATGTTCGCACACCCCTCACGCTGTTCGCCCGACCCACGCAGTTCGTGGCCCCTAGGGAGTTCCTCCTCGATCGTTCCGCATGCCCTGCGGTACTCGCAACTGCATGTGGTTGGGTCTTTCGCCAGGATACTTTCCAACCGTCCTGTTGTGTTGGGTCCTCGTTTTGAACAGTGCCTCGCGTTTCCCTCCTCCTCTTCCTCCTCCTCCTCCCTCCTTCTCCTCGTGCTCCTCCTCTTCCCTCCTTCTCCCCCGCTCTCCCTCCTCCCTCCTCCCACCGTTGCCTCTTCTCTCCGCACGTCATCATTACCATCGTCATCATCATCGTAATTATCATTACCTGCATCATCATCAACAACAACATCATCATCATCACTGTTATTATTGTTATCATTGTCATTGTTGTTATTTCTGTAATTAGTGTGATGTTTATTAGTATTATTCGTATTCTTCTTACTATTACTGTTATATCAATGATAATAACTATTACTACTATTGGTATTACTCTAATTATTATTATTAGTATTACTATTATTATTAGTAGTACTATTATTATTATTATTCTTATCATTATTGCTACCATTATTATTCTTATTATTCTTGTCACCATCACCATCACCATCACCATCATCATCATCATCATCACCATCATCATCATCATCATCAGCATCATCATCATCATCGTCATGTTACACCCCTCACACGTTTCATGGCCCCATAAGGAGCCCCACCGGAGGCCCCAGTGGCGCCGCCCGCATGCGTCCGACCCACCAATTTGGGCACACCCCTCACGAGGATGGTAGCCCCATAGGTAGCTCCACCGAAGGTCCCAGGGGCGCCGCCCATTTGCGTCACACCCGCCCATTTCGGTACACCCCTCACGAGGATCGTGGCCCCAAAGGTAGCTCCGCCGAAGGTCCCAGGGGTGCCGCCCGCTTGCGTCCGACCTACCTATTTGTTGGGCACACCCCTCACGAGGATCGTGGCCCCATAGGGAGCTCCACCGGAGGTCCCAGGGGCGCCGCATGCGTCCGACCCACCCATTGCGACACACACTCCTCACGAGGATCGCTGCCCCATAGGGAACTCCACCGCCGAAGGTCCCAGGGGCGCCGCCCGCATGCGTCCAACCCGCGCATTTAGGCACACCCCTCACGAGGATCGCGGCCCCGTAAGGGGGCTCCACCGAAGGTCCCAGGGGTGCCGCCCGCGTGCGCCCGGCCTCGCCGCCCGCATGCGTCTCACCCACCAATGTCGTCTCACCCATCACGAGGATCCTGGCCCCCTCATTGGGAGCTCCACCGAAGGTCCCAAGGGCGCCGCCCATTTGCGTCACACCCGCCCATTTCGGTACACCCCTCACGAGGATCGTGGCCCCAAAGGTAGCTCCGCCGAAGGTCCCAGGGGTGCCGCCCGCTTGCGTCCGACCTACCTATTTGTTGGGCACACCCCTCACGAGGATCGTGGCCCCATATGGGGCCCCATATGGGGCTCCCCCGCTCCCCGCCCCTGCCTGCCCGTGAATCAATCCTCGTTAGACGTTCGCACATTTGCCCGGGTGCCGGAGGCACGGGCCAAGTTTCCCCCCCGAGTTCTAGATTGGCACGGCCTTCGGGCCGATCTGGAGTTGCGTTGCGTTGCGAAGTTCCTTGCGGCCGTCCTCGCGCGCGCCTCCTCCCATTTTTCTGCGCGCCCTTCACACATTTCGTGGCCCCATGAGGAGCTCCACCGAAGGTCGCAGCGGCCGTCATCGCATGCGTCTCCCCCACAGCCCGCATGCGGCACCCGCCCCATGTTGGCACACCCCTCACGCGGCTCGCCCGTCCCACGCGGTTCGCGGCCCCATAGGGAGTTCCTCCTCGATCGTTCCGCCTGCCCTGCGGTACTCGCAATTGCATGTGGTTTGAGTCCTTCGCCAGGAGCATGTTCGTGAGGTCGGATCTCAAGAGAGCCCGGGCTTCCGAGGCGGAGCGCTGGATCAGGGAGAAGGCCATGGACGCGGCGGAGCGCCGGGCGAACGAGGCACGGAGCCCCACCAGCGCAGAAGGGGAATATCTGTACCGATGCCGCTGCACTTCTTTCGTCGTGACGGCTGGCTTCGCCTCGGGATCCTGGCCAGAACGTGGTCAGGGGAGGAACATCGGAAACTGGAGTATGTACACCACCAGTGACACGCTGGTTTTCAGTCCCAGGACTTCTTGAGGGTCGGGGACGACGTCGGGGTGGTGTGGTGTATACTTCTTTCCTTGTTTTCCCCCGGCGAAGCAACGAAACATGTGTACACCAGGATCCCGTATACACCAGGATCCGCTGTCCTGTGCAAGTGTCAGCGCAGGGCTGGGAAAAAGCGTCGGTGACGACTGCATTCGCCTCGAGATTTTGGCCGGGACGCCCCCTGGAGAGGTCCAGGGAGTGGCGGTTTTGGTACCTTGTCAGCGGGGTAGGCTACATAGGGTAAGAGACGGGGTGGCAGGGAGGGACGGAGGGAGGGAGGGGGAGGAGGGGAAGGAGGAGGGGGAGGAGGAGGAGGAGGAGGAGGAGGAGGAGGAGGAGGAGGAGGAGAAGGAGGGAGGAGGGGAGGCGGCCTCTTTCCTCTTCGGAGGAGAGTGGATGAGGATGAGGAGGATGAGGGGGACGAGGGGGGAGGAGGGAGGAGGGAGGAGGAGGACGAGGGGGTACGAGGGAGGAGGAGAAGGAGGAGGAGGAGGAATTGGAGGAAGTGGAGGTGCAAAATGCCCTCCGTTTAAGGCTGCTGCGTGGGAAGCGCTGGATGCCATAATGGCTTGGGCCAGCGATGCGAGCATAGAGATGCCGTCGGCACGGTCGGCCCACTGAAGACCAGACGAAACTCTAAATGTCCAGACACTTTGAAAGTCGAGATCAGTGTCGGCAAGTACTCGGCGGACATATTCAGTGAATCCGTCCGCTTGGCAGCCGCACCAACTCGCCGACCGTGTGTGCATCCAGTGGCGCCAACCCTTTACCATTGGTAGGGTGCGTAGTTCTTTGGGCAGCGACTGTAACGGCTGCTTGCTTCCACGGCTGTCTGCTTGCATGGCGGAGGCGACCTCCGCTAAGCTCTCCGCAATCTTGCACATCTCGAAATGCGTTGACGTCTGACGGCGAACCTGGGGTCGGCGGCCCTGGAGGGTGTTGGCCACGAGGCAGAAGGCCAGGAGTCTGGGGGGAAACAAACACACAGACACAATTCATCGTCGATTCCCCAGAAAATATGGGAAAATATGGGAAGTGGGGGGGAAGACAAAAAACCCGAAAATACAGGAAAATATGGGGAATATTTTTATCTGTGTGTATTTATTTGTGTGTGTCCCAGGGCCCCTTCAAGGAGGATGCGTGTCGGACGGGTCTACCTGTCGTCAGCCGGACGCGACGCAGCGCCACGGCTGTCGGACGAGGTGTAGCTGCCACGCGAAGACCAGTACGTATTTCCAGCCAGGCGCGACGCAGCGCCACTGCTGTTGGCGCCAGTGGGGCTCGGCCGTGTGGCTGCAGGGGCAGAGAACCCCTCTGGCGCGGGAGCTCCAGTGGAAATCACTAGGGGAACAAAAAGTGACATAAACATAAAAAGTCGGAGGTTCGCGCGGATTTCTCGGATCGGCGCTGGGGCCCCCCGGTGGCGCCTCCAGCGCCGCCCCTGGCGCGCTCCGCGCGCCAGGGAGGGGGGGGTCCAGCGCCGATCCGAGAAATCCACGCGGACCTCCGAGTTTTTATGTTTATGTAGTTTTTTGTTCCCCTAATCACGCTCGTGATTGGATCGAGTAGGTCAGAATCGTCATCAGGGGTCGGGGTGTCAGTCCGAGTCGACATGGCGGCGCGTTCTGACGAAGATCAGGGAAGGCCCAAGAGAGGAGGATATGAGGGGCGCGTAAACGCGCGGGCCTCCCAACTTGCGGAATGCCTTTTACCCTTGAGCCAACCAGCGCGGAATCTCTCTCTCTGTCCGCAGGAGGAGGAGGAAGAGGAGGAGGAGGAGGAGGACGACCAGTGTAAACACAAGACTCGTCAACGATGTTGGAATACACCCTCTCCGCGCTCCCTCTTCATAGGCCCCTACAAGGGTTCATTTGCACTGAGGGAATTGCCTCGCTGGGGGACGACAGTGTGAAAATCCTGAAGCATGCCAAGACACCATTCTCAGGACCTCAACGCCACGAGTTAGTCCGATTGTTACGTCTTGGCGATCCTGAATCGTACCAGAACGTCTTTCCTGGGACATCAGCACCGCGAATCAACGTAACTGTTGCGCCATGATCATGTATAATCTTTCCAAAACATAATTTCTGGTACGTTATCCACGAGGCGCAGTGACATTCTTTACAACCTGTTGAAAACTAATGTGCGCGCCACGAAGGCGACAGCCACATTTAGAAAAAGGAACCAACCTCAGTCTGCATTTTGAAAAAGAAACACTCTCAGTCCGTGAAACTCTTTGCGAAAGTTTAAGAATAATGTGCGTGGCGCGAAGGCGCGAACCACATTTTGAAAAGGAACCGCCCTCAATCCGTGAAGCTCGTGCATTTTTAAACGAATGTGTGCGCGGCGCCAAGGCGAGAACCACATTTTATTTTGAAAAGGAATCGCCTTTAAACCGTGAAACTGATGCACGTTAAAACATAATGTGCGCGGCGGTAAGGCGAGAGCCACATTTTGGAAGCGACCCGCCCTCCATCTGTGAAACGGTTCGGCCTCAAAGCTGCCCAGAGCCAAATCTACTCTGCCCGGTGCGACATATGCCCCCCGGGGGCTCCGCTCCTCGTCTGGAACACAGGAGCCCCGCCCCTGGGCTGTTTCATATGGAAGCCTGCGGAAGGGGTAGGGGTTCCCGAGCAGGCCGGGCTGCCTCCCATCGACAAGCGAGCCATAGCCTGGTGGGAGCGCAGATGGAATGCTACTTGGTGCTGTCGACGCTGCCTGGTCCAGGTATGGAATATCGGTCCTGCTGCCCTGGACCACATCCTGTATCGGGACTTTAGAGCGCTGTACCCAGCCGAGGCCCCTGTCCTCCCGACGCTCAGCAGCCAGATCGGAGCTGAGGCACCAGTGGACATATCCAAGTCTCTCCCATGGCTAGGCGCGGACGCCAAGGCCCAGGATCGCTTCACCAAGGCTGGAGCGACGAACTTCCCTGGGTCTAGCGCCGCGGGTGGCGCTGCCTCCGCGGCTGAGCGAACTCCCAGGTCCCTAGCACAGCTCATGGAACTCCTGCCAGAGCTGCCGGTCCCGCAGGGCTCGCTCCTGGACAGCAGGGACGTCGACAACCCCACGCTGAGCCCAAACGACCCCAGGAGCGGACCAGGCAGCGGAGGCCTGTCCGCACAGCGACTCCTGGTGACCTACCTCCGTGACTCCCACCCTGGACTGGACTACGCCTGGAGACAGTTCTGTTTCACCAACCGCGACAGCAGCATCCCAGAGCCTAGGAGTGACGAAGCCTCCCGGCCTGGCGGACTTCTGACTGATTTCCTCAGGACGGCGTGCGGCGAATGCATCCCTGAGGATTGTGTCCCGCCCAACCAGCGCTGGGAGGGTAAACGGCTGGCCGCGGCGCGAGTCGTCGCCCACCTCACCAACGGCGAGAAACATAGGGAGTCCTGGGAGAGGCACGCCTCGATCCTGGCCCCGACGAGTGGCCTCAGTCCCATCAGACGCGAAATTGGCACACTGACGAGTTTCCTACTCAGCCTCAGCGCCGATGCCCTTGCCTCGACGACCATCACTTCCTTGGCCGAGTCACACGCGCAGACCATGAGTGAGGACATGCCTGGCACCCCTACGGCGGCCGACGCAGACAAGTCCCTGGGTACGAGAGGCGACGACTCGCGTCTGGGTCTCCCGGACCCGCCCGACCACACTGTCAAGGACGGGAGCGGTGAAGACGTGATCCCTCCTACGGCGAAGGTGGAGTCACCCGACTTTGGAGAACCCCGCGAGTCCCCTCCTCCCATATCCTGCTCGGACTCTGCCACGGAGGTCGACGACAACGGCCCAGGCGACAAGGCGCCTCAGCGGAGCCCCGCGGCAGACAGCTCGGAACCCTGCTCCGAACGTGACCCGATTGCTGCCGGGGGTGGGCTGGCTAACACCGACCAAAACACCAGTGAAGCCAGGGGGTCTGAGGATGACGAGAGCGCCCACGACTGGGGCGACGTGCGGACCCGTCGTCCCCCACTGCGTAATCCACAGGTCCATGGACACAGACCTACCTACCCTCGTTCAACGGAGCGCCACACGCTCAACCTGTTGACCGACTCGCACGGGGGCCCCATGTAAAAGGTCTGGCTGGGCACGGTGGACTTGGGGCGTCACGACGAGCCACCTGCCAAACGCCTCGCCAGGTACCAGTCGGAGTTGGGTGCAGTATTCTGCGCGCTGTGGACCGCCTGCACGCAGCGCATTTGGCTCCCTGGATCCAGGGAGCCCAAATCAGACCCGAGACTGCACACGGAAGCGACCATCAACAAGTTTCTCGACGACTGGAAAGGCTGCGGGTACAACGCCTACCTGATGGACACGAGGTACGGCTACCGCATTGATTGGGCCAAACTGCGGGCCGATTACCTGCGTCACACCCGACCCGACGGCAAGGGCAAAGGCAACCTCCAGCAGAGCAGCTGGCGAGACCGCGCGGCGAGCTCCTGGGGCACCTGGGGCACCTGGCAGAGCGACTGGAGTGACGGCTGGCACGACGACCGTTGGCAGACGGGAGGCAAGCGTGGTGGAGGCAGACCTGACGAGCGAGACGAAAAGAGGCACCGATGGGGAGACTGAGCTCACTTACCATACATCCAGCACCTAGACAGCAATGTCCATCTTAGTACACACTATGTGCGGCCTTCAGCTGCCTTACCTTCTCTCTCAACCGTGTGGCAGCCTGGCTGCCCCCCTTCCCTGGTCCACACACTTCCTGCCTTTGGGCCCAAGTATGTCGACCAGCAATGCCATCTGCTTCGCTGCGTGGGGAAGCGTAGCGCGCAGACCCTAGCTGGCCCCTGGCCCCGCTG